ATTTTAATAAAAAAATATAAAAAATACATTTAATTATTTTTAAATATATTCTTATTAATTAGTTAATTTTAAACAATAATTATTAATTATTATATAACTAAACAATTATATTAATTCAATTTACTATATATGATCTATTATTCACTTTAACTATTCATTACCTATTATCTATTACCCACTTTTATTATCCATTATCTATTACATGCTATTTAATATTTACTAAATTTTAACCATTATATCAAACAAACTCTAAGTATAATTTCCTTATATAAAAAATCAATATTCACCCCCCACATATAATTGATTTGTCATAATTACTTACATTAAGAGGCTATCCCAAATTATTTAGGTAGTTTAATAAGAATATTCTCTTAATAAAAATAAAAAATTTTAAGTTGACGTCGCAGTTATATGCATTGCCATAAAGTCCAGAAGTAAAACAGTTGCATCCCGAATGGCCCGCTCCGGCCCAGTGGCCTTGGGCCCTGGGTTAGGGCTGTTCACCTCCGTGGTTGCACGTTCGAGCCCCCACGGAACCCCTTGCCCCTCTCCCCCAATTAGCTTGTAAATAATTACAAATTGATCAAAAAAAAAAAAAAAAAAAAAAAAAACAGTTGCATCCCATTTTGTCAGTGCATTATCAGTTTCAATTTGTCTGACATGGGCTGTGACTCTTACATTCTTCAGAGGCAACCCAGCTCTAAGTGGTTACTGATTCAGCTGCAAACAGAGGTCACCGTCATCACCGCCATCTTCCTTTGCATCAGAATAGCTACGCCATGGTTCACCCCCTAGAGAACACGGTTTATACTTTGCTTTAATCACGCCAATGTTCTCGCATATTATTTTCCTTCTGCACTTGTCTACTACGTGTAAATGCATATGTAGCCTATATATATTGGTCGCTGCTTTTTTTTTTTTTTTTCTCCTTTTATTGGTTAAGTTTTATTGAAGTTGCTGTGTTATTATCTAGATTACAATTTCAATGGCTTGTTTCAGTCCTTTTAGGTTCTGGGTTTCACTCAAAATCGGCTTCAATTTTGTATTTTCTGTAGATGATTTCAGGTTTTGGAAATTATCAGTAATCCTAGGATTAAATATAAAGTGTTTATTTTGTTATTTGATTTTTTTTTTTTTTCTTGTAAAGTTTATCAATTTCATTTCTCACAAATTGTTTAAAAGCAGAATGTTGGTGGATGGAGCAATGTGGTACTTGCATATAAGACTCTAGGAGTTGTATTTGGAGGGCTTGTAACATCTCCTTTGTATGTATATCCATCAATGCCTTTGAAATCTCCCACTGAAGAGAAATACTTGGGAATCTTCAGCATCATGTTTTGGACTCTTACCCTCATTGGGGTTGTCAAGTATTGTGGCATAGCTCTTAAAGCAGATGATCAAGGAGAAGGTACATTTCTTATATTCCAATTCTTTGGGGTAAGTTGGGCAATCTTTGCAAGTATCAGTAAGCTGGCTGTGATTCTGAGTTCCTGAATCTGTCTGGTTATTTAATTTGCTGACAATGTACTTAATTTGATTAATTGATTTGTATTTTGATGCTTATAATTAAAACTCTTGAACGCTTTGGTTTCGTTCAACATGCAAACCAACTTATCCTGAAAAGGTCCTTTCAATTATGTTTATTCTTTAAAATACTCCAGTTTATGAACTCTGATTGGGGCAGACAACTTATTCCATGCAACTTATTGACTGCAGGGGGAACATTTGCATTGTATTCATTGCTTTGTAGGAACATGAATATTGGAATCCTTTCTTCTAAACGTGCTAATTCTAACTCAATCTTGTCTGAAAACACTGAAAGGAGAAGTAGGCTTGTCAAATTTTTTGAGAAAAGTATAGTTGCCAGGAGAGGGTTGCTTTTTGTTGCTATTTTAGGAATGTGCATGCTAATTGGCGATGGCATCCTTACCCCTGCAATCTCAGGTTTGTATCCAAGTTTCTTTAATTTTATTTGGCATTCTGTTTTATTGTTATCATTATTTTTATTATTATTATTAACATTGTGTATCTGACTTCAAAGAATTTTTTTTCAGTTTTGTCAGCAATGGATGGAGTAAAAGCGCGGTTTGATTCTGTCAGTAAATGTATGTCTTGATAATGATTCTTGAATATGAGTTCTGAAGTTTAGCACATTTGCCTGGTGAAAGTAGTCTCTGTCCGCTAATCTAAATTCAAATAATATTTTTTTTTCACCAAGTCCTTAGGTAACATCCCTTTCAAACAAATTCTGTTATAAAAGAAATATCTTATCCTGGTATTATCATATGCATCGGTTGCATTTGAAAATCAATTAGCAAACAGGCCCATAGTTTTCCTTGAATCAATAAACATAATGGAAAGTTAAATAGTATTACTTTTTGCGGCAATTTCAGTTCAAAAATGCTTAGTGAATAAAAAGTTAAAAACTTCATTCAAGATAGTCTCATTGCAGGTTAAGGGTTTAGTCATTTTCTATGGGGAAATAACATTTGTAGGCTGTGTTCGTTTACAGAATTTGATAGCAAGGGAACATTTTGTGTTTCATTCAAGAATATGAATGATGCTAATAATTGAATAAACCAAAGGCCAGGTTCTGAAGACAGAAAGAAATTGACAAATTTTATCATGAACAAAGGGAGAATTTGGTCCTATCAAAAGAAAAAAAAGAAGGGAGAATTTGGCAAGTTATACTTAAATATCACAAACTTGTTGAGTGATAAATAGTAAGACCAATTAATGCAACACAAATTGGTTTAATAATGCACGTTATGAACTTAAGGGACATTAAATCATTTTTAGGTGCTTAAGTTAACTGGTTTTATAATTTTAGTAATGTGATGGTATTCGTTATCATTAATGCTTCATTGGTTTGTTAACACCACAGCTCTGGTGGAAGCCCTTTCTGCAGTAGTTCTTGTTGTTATCTTCCTGCTACAGAAATATGGCACTTCTCGAGTGAGCTTTATGTTTTCTCCCATCATGGCTGCATGGACTTTGAGCACTCCAATTGTTGGAATTTATAGCATTGTACATCATTACCCCAGTATATTCAAGGCACTATCACCTCATTACATCTTTCTTTTCTTTTCAAGAAATGGAAAAGAAGGGTGGCTGCTGCTTGGTGGTACCATCCTTAGCATCACTGGTAAGCCTTGATTTTAAAGTACTGAGTTATAATTATTATGAATCAGTTTATTATCTTTTGTGTTGTCTATTTCCAATGATCACCGGCCCTTAGGCATTATCAACACAAACAATTAGATGCACAATTTAAATTGTTGTCATACCATTTACATTATAATGAGACTCAAATTTATGATTTAAAATTTAATCCTAGTTTGACAAAGTTAGAATGCATTTTTCAGTTGATTTTGATGGGAAATTACCTTGTTTATTTATTTTTATCAGGAAAGAAGTTAAATGTAAACTATTATAGATGTTTGAATTGTTGACTTAACCCCCTAAAAAAATAAGGTTTTGAAATTAGTGAGTATTATTGACTCAGCTAAGCTCTTGCTAGAAATACTCATCTTTCATGTTTTATGGTCTATACTTGCTTGTATCTTTGAATTGTCCCTAGTTTGATGGATTAAGCATAGAGAGCAATTTTGCATCCTTTTAGATTATTTCACCTTTTTTTAAATGTAGAACTCTTTTCCATACCCTTTGATGTTGCTATCATGTTATACTCGTAGGTTCTGAAGCAATGTTTGCAGATCTAGGTCATTTTAACAAGCGTTCCATTCAGGTAAGCCATAATTTCTACCCTGAGACTTCATTCTTTTTGTAAATAATGGATTCCTCATACTATCTTTGTCTACAGCTGGCTTTCTTTTTTACAATATATCCATCTCTGGTTTTTACATATGCTGGGCAAACAGCATATTTGATTAAGAACCCTGATGATTTCAAGGATGGATTTTACAAATTTATACCAAACGCTGTTTACTGGCCGATCTTCATCATAGCCACACTGGCTGCAATTGTTGCCAGCCAATCTCTGATATCTGCAACCTTTTCTGTAATCAAGCAATCTGTTGTGCTGGATTATTTTCCTCGAGTGAAGGTGGTGCACACGTCTCCCAACAACGAAGGAGAAGTTTACTCTCCAGAAGTGAATTACATCCTTATGATTCTTTGTGTTGCAGTGATACTCATATTTGGGGATGGAAATATTGCGAATGCTTTTGGTATGGTAAACTAATACTACTAAGATCTTTATCTATTTTTGCATGCAACAGCCATTATTAATTCCTTGCCTGTTTTCTAGATCTATTGATGCTTCTCTGGTCACTTAGTTAATTATTCATGGCCTTGTAATACTCCATCTTTTGGTAGTGCCTACAGATTGTAGAAGATTGTGGGTAATTAGAGGAAGGGTAACTTTCATTTTTTCTGTTGCTAGTCTTTTCCTGATAAATTGGTATATAATTCTCAACCTTGATCATGTTCCAATTGAATTCCCAACCTAATTATATGATTGTAACCTAGCTTCCGTTAACACCTCAGTACAATGTCCTTGTTGCACCCTACTTCGAAGGAAGGTCACTAACGAATTGTACTTTTACTGATAATGGAGTCTTTATTGTGAAAATATTATTTTTTCTGGTTAAATATTTAACTTTTTCGGTGTATTATAAATTTATGTAATAAAGCAGAAAAACTAAATGTTTCTTTTTTCTTTGGTAATTATCATACTGTATGCTGCTTCTAAAAGCAAAACTACTAAGTAGCAGGTCAACGTTCTTCATGTGGCTGATAACAATAGTCTAACCGTACCTTGTTGCAGGTGTTGTTGTTAGCCTAGTCATGCTCCTTACAACTATATTACTGACACTAGTCATGATCATTATCTGGAGAACATCACCGTTGCTGGTTGCACTTTACTTCTCTGTATTTTTCACAATGGAGGGTGTTTATGTGAGTGCAGTCTGCACCAAA